GGGTGAATGCCACCACACCTGGTTTCAGTGGCCAGCATGGAAGGTATGCTAGGCAGGCACTTAGATTGCTGAGCTATCTCCCCAGCCCAATAATTCTTTATTATTGTCAAATAGGCAGGGTTTCATTTTCCTCAATTATCTTTCTTTTCTTTTTTCAGAATCCTAATAAATTCCATATATTGCAATCAATTAATATGCCTCTTTTAATGTATAGGTACCTAGGATTTTACTCCTGATTTGAGCCATTACTATCGTGGGAAACAAATTTCTTAGCAATGAGGATGAGAGATCAAAATACTTAGGACACAACCAACCTAGCCCAAAACTCCATGAAGTTTTGCCTTAATATCTGAACTCATGGTAACTTAAGAGCAAAGCATTTCTATCTTATTTAATTAATTTATTTTTATATATTTTGTACAGGGGCTCACTACGCAGCTCAGACTCACAGTGATGGTTTCAGCCTCCCTGGTGCTGAGATTACCACACCCAGTCTCAGTGGGCTCAGAGCACCCAGGGCGGGGCTGGTGCAGCATGTGGTGCTGGGAATTGAACCCCCATCCCTGCGCTTGCTTAAGCAGGGGCTTAATCCACTGAGCTGTCTCGCCAGCCCTAGAGCAAAACATTTCTGAGAAAGTAGCACTTCTGAAAGAGGGACGAATCCACAAATTGCTGTGTTGGAGACCTTCGGAGTCCCATTCTGTAATTTATTTATTTTTTATTTTTTGGAACCAGGGATTGAACTCAGGCCCTTGCGTTTTCCAGGCAAGCGCATATTCTACTGAGCCATCTCCTCGGCCTCTGTTCTGTAAGGAGTATGTTCTTCCAGCGATTTGAAGTTTCCTTCTGATGTTCCCTTCAACAAAAGCTGCTCTCCAGGAACGTTGGAATTAGGGACAATATGTAACTTATCATTTGCATTAATAAGGGCACTATTTAGAGTCCAGACGTGCTCACTAATCGGCATCGTTTTCAGTTAGGGTACCTGCTTTTCTTCTGCGCACTTCCTCAGGATTTTCATCAGCGAGCTGTGTTCCTCCTCTCTCCTCGCCATCATGATTTTCATCCACTTGACGCCCGTCAAAGCTGTCTGCACCTCTCCAGCTGCGTCTATTTCCGCAGCCTCAGAAAAACCTGAAAGCCACACAGCAGTTTTTTGAGATCTGATCAGATTGCAAAACAATGAGATCACCACTCTTTCTTGTGCCTGAAATCGAGGCTTAATTATTCTTTTATAGCCTTGACTCTGAAAGCAGGTGATAGAGAACTCGCTGTCAGCTGCCACCGCGGGGCCTCCTG